CTTATTACTTAAAAAATGCAAAACTATCCAAGAGTTTAATTCGACGAATTGGCTGCTTTATATATGAAATTTGTTTCAACGCCGAGACAATAACCAAAACTTAATATAATTTAAATATACTAATTATATATCATAAAAACACTTACTACTTGTAGTCATTGCAAGTTTTTACTACTAGGTGTACTGCTTGTAGAATTTCTGGAACAATCCTGAAAAAAAAAAGAAATTGTAAAACATTTTGAAAAAAAAAGTTTATGTAAATAACAGTATAATAATAACAATTAATATATGATAAAATATATAAAATATTGTATAAATAATTGATACAATAAATGATAATACATACATTTAACTAAATATTATTCGTGAGAAGTATATTTTTTTCAAATTTTTGTACCCATAATAACATGTTCTCATGGCTATCAAAATCAAATCTTCAAAATCAATATCTATTTTCAAAATCTCTTGTATAAATTGCACCATCGTGTATTTTATGGGAATAGTCTAGTTCGTTATAAAGTTTTTCTCTTTTATCAGATTGCGTAGAGTTTTTATCTACTTAAGATTAATTTAACGTAGAATGATTAAATTTATGAAATTGATTAAAAGTAAATGCAAACTAATTTACAAAATATTAGATATTTTTAAATCTTGCAGAGCATAAAACTGAAAGAGAGGACAAGAAAACAAATCTGGGAAACCGCTATGCATTTTACCGAATTTTTAGATATAATCAAACCGCTGGTAGAAATATTGTAAAAATATTTATTTTCTACAAATCAGTAGATAGAAAGATTAATGTAAACTTAAATAAAAAATTTAAATCTCATTATATTGAATTGTATATTGTAAGTTGATATATATGTAAATGATAGCATATAAGTGAAGTTGCATTTAATGTGTAAAACGCCTGATCGCAAAGATAATATAAGGATATATGACAGTATTTAGTAGCATTTTGTATGAAAACTGGAACGTAACATATACCCTCGGTCATAACATCGGTCTATTTTACGGAAGAATCATCCCATTAATATGAAAATTTAATATTTAAAAACTTATTTTTTCATTTTACTTTAAATTGACATTATCAATACATTTATTATGAATTATTGATCATTCAAAATAAAACTTAAATATTTAGATATCAAGGTCTTGCTGTTTTTTCTGCAATAAATCATCATTTTTAATGTTGAATAATGTGTTTCTATATATTTATAGTTTTAATTCTAATAGCAATTGATTTGTTAACATGCAATTAACTAGTTAAAAGTGGCATTTAGCCTTAAGGCAAGTTGCATGAACTTCTACAAATGTGTAAGTATTGGCTTAAACAATCGAAATTGAAATTTAGACATTTAGATAAAATTTTCAAATGTTTATTTTAAAAATAAGGTTATCGCTTTCATTTAAATCTAAACATTACGATCTTGAATAGAATTTTCTCAAACACATTTAAATTAACTGTAATTATATTAATTGTACTGCAAAGACACGTGTTTGTAAGCCCTAAAATTGTAGCTTATTATTTTAAATTTTAATGATATTAATTCATAATTATTTACTCATCACATCACAAAAAAAACTTTTGATGTAAATTTTGACTATAAAGGATCTCAAACTTTGATGAATTTTTAACATTAAATACTATTTATCGTAGGGCAATAATATTTTAGTATGTCTTATAAGAACACGATATCTATTGCCAAAAAACATTCATAAAAACGTCGATTTACGGCAAAGAAACTGTTTACATATACATACACACACACCCACTTTTTCCGAATTTGGTCTAATTCGATTCAGAAAGGTTTGAAACGTCGAGAAAACAAAATTAGCGAACTGTATTTTTTGATGAAAACAAATTTCTCCTTTGGGAAGTTAATAATAAAACTAATTAACATCATAATCTAATAAGTCAAGAAAGAAAAAAAATGTATGAGTAAAACGTTGACCAACTGTCAGTCTATTACTAGGTCTCACAAATCGGAGCAGGTAAACACAGTCATCCCATAACATAACAGTCTTCTATCCAAAGACTCTGCCAGAATTTACGAACGCACCAAAATTTACACCTCAATTAGTTACAGGTAGTTCCTTTGAATAAAAATTGATATCCTACCTAACACATTGTCCAGAATCGCTAAGCCACACAAAACGCCCGGAATACAATAACTTCAAAAAATAAACCGTATGGTTATGCTTGAGATAATTTTAATCGGCGTGGCTTTGAAACGATTCTTCAGAGGACTAAAATCGCTTTAAAGAAATGAAATATTTGTTTAAAAAGTTGACTTATGATACTGGACAGATAATGCCGGTGTGCGGTATGGATTTTGAGAAATTTTGTGTGGTACGTATGTTCGGAGGTGGAACTAATTTTTGTACTACATGGGGAAATAATTACTGATTTATATGTTTGCAGAAAGATTTTTATTAATTTCTTAGATTTTTCAATTTGTGAGATATTGGATATCTTAACGAGATTAAAAATGCAGTTAACTAGAAAAAGATATATTTGAAAAAAAAAATTATTTTAATTATTATTCAAAGCTTCTATAGATATTGAGATTTTAAATATTTGAAAAATATAGGCTATTTTCTAAAATAGTTTTTCTGAAAAAATAATTAAAATGTTGAGTTTTAGACTGTGTATAAAGAAAGACGAAGAATCAGAAATGCAATTTTTCAAAAAAAAAAAAAAAAAAAAAAAAATATTTACATTGTATATATTAATTTAGCAAAACTATTAATAGGAACAAAATCAGTAATTTTAATATAAATAATGTTCGCTCACTGCACTGCAATTGTAATACTAAAATAAATGATTTATTAAAAAAATACTTTGAAAAGTATTCTTGGCATCACAAGCAAATTTAATATTTCATATATATATATTTCTATTAATTAATAAACAGCAATCAAAATTACAAAAATTAATATTTCATATAAATCCAATTTGTGTCCAGTTTAAGTGAAAATTGTAAATCATTCAATACTATATAATTATTATAATGCAATAAAATTATATATTCAAGGTTTAACTTATAAAAATACATATTAAATATAATTTACTTGACAAAAAATGTTAAAATTAGTATAAATATATTAATAAAACTATAATTTTATTATTAAAATTGAAGAAGCATATAAACGCTTAAATCTACGAGTGATATTTCATTTCACAAAGTTCTGATGGCAATAAAATTCAAGCAAATTAAAACTAAACCTATCAAATTAATATGTTATGTATTACGAAATAATTGAACAAATTCTAGTATTATTTACTGTTTTACCTTTATTTCCCAGGAAACATTTTTCTGCACCACAGCAACATAATTTCAAGCAACAACAAATCAGTCTTAGAAATCACTTTTAATTAGCAACTATATTTTTTTAAATTTTAAGACATTTCTAACACTTAGCATAATTGGCATCAAATTGAACACTGTGGACACTTTGTCAATGATACCATTAAAAACACCTTTGCACAATAAATGCAAAACTTAACATTAATTTCAATGCAAGAACAAATAATATGGTTACATAACCAAATAAGTAAAAATATTCCATACAGATAAAATTTGCTATGTTCAGCCTAATTTGAATTTATCTGATTAAGGTTTGATTTGATTAAATTGTTTATTAACAAATAACTTGCAACTAATGCAAACAAGTAGTAAATAAAAGTTGCAAATGGCTTGCAACAATTTGTGGTTTGAAACATTTGATTATTGTGAAAAAATTTTGTGATGAGGAATAAATTATCTGCAAAATTTTTATACGACTTGCATTAAATTGATTAGAACAATTTGTGAAAATGTATTTGCGTTAAAATTTAATTAGAAAACGTACATGTACTTTTTGCTGAAAATGATATTTTTCATCGCATTATTATAATAAAGGCTCACTATTACGTAATTCATAAATACTTCGTCTGGGTCCTAATATCTCAGCAAGACTGTCCATATACAATAAATAAATTTGCCAAAAATCAGGTTTTTATATACTAGATATTGTGTCGTTCTAATATAAAAGTGAACAAAGATTATCTATTCAACCTTTTCATAAATAAATTAAAATATATGTACAACAAAAATGTGTAAGTGAGACAGATATAATTTGTTCCTGAAACTTCAAAGAAATGATATACCCAAAATATATTTCAATCGATTTTAATATATTCAATAAATAAAGTACAATATTCTGTTCAAGTAATATTATATATATAAGTGGACTAGTATTCTTACAAAAAATATATATAGATATTTCATTATGAAAGTAATATTTACACATTTTAAATAATTCAGTCTTTAAACTTATGTTTTATTCACAAAATACATAAATTATCTCCGTAGTCAATATAATCGACGTAATTTGTATTTATTAAATAATATTCTTATCAATCAGAAATAAAATAAACACGTTTTAAGCCAAATAATGTGTCAATTATTAATTTTTAATTAAAAATTTTGTAAATTCAATTATGATGAGAACGGAGATAATTGTTGATTTAAATAAGAGATCATTTTCACATGTATAACCAGCTACATAAAAGGCTTATTCTATAGCTTATTCAATATTTAAGCTATTTTTAAATTATAATTACATTTCTAACTTATCGTGAATGTAATTTTTTATAATTTTATACACTTTCAAATTTTTCAAAGTATAGCCTCGAGGTTCCAAATCTGAATAGACAGCCAAACAAATTTAAATTACAAATAAAGTATTCATCATTATTATGTATTGATGTTAATAATTATACCTACAAAAATTTAAACCTTATTTGAAAAAAGTATTCACCTATCCAAATTTATTTTACACATTTTAGTAATAATTTTCAGTCTAATTAGGACAATAATGAGTAAAGTACTTAGTAAGCAAAGCAAATTATTAACATCAATTGTATGAATTTAAATATATTATTATCACATTCCAAAGTTCAGAGGAAACAATATCACAATTAGTTATTAATAAATAATTATGATATTATTTTTTTATTTGATATTTCGTGTGTACGAGCTTTGGGTGTGATTACTATAACCACTGTCAGAACCAAAAGATGAATCCTGTGCATTTTCACATCTTGGTCTATTGAAATAAGTATGTGAAACATTTAAATTTGATCGTCTTGCAGCATCAGTTCTTGAAATTGCATAAGGCAATGACTGCATACCACTTTGATGGAACCTCAGACTAGTATCTGGTAATAAAATACCACGTTTCCAACCAACTTTGATATCACTATTGTCCTCATTAATAATATGACATCTTGACGATTTAAGTTCGTCACCAAAATTTGATTCCCTTGGGGCACTTTTTACAGAATGTACACTTATCGCACTTGAGTGAGTGTTTTTCATAATTTTTTTATCACTTTGAGTGTTTATTTCACAATTTTCAGAATCGTCACTTCTTGCACATTCGAGGTCACTTGTAATTTCTTCTGGTTGTACTTTCTTCTGACCTTGGATTCTAGGATTGTTGAAATATCGGCTGGAATTGCCAAAATTGTTCTGGGAACTCGGGTATCTCTGGAATGCGTTTACGTGACAACAGTTTGGATTTGAGTTCTGTACGTGATTTTCTGGCTGTCGATGATGATATTGATGGGAAGCGATTGAACGATTCAAAGGCAGAGTTTCTGACATGTAGTAACTAACAGGATATTTATATTCTACAGAACTGAGCTCATCCTCAGCAAAATCGTCCTCACTTTCTCTTTGTCCGCTCTCACTATCCTCATAGTTGACTTTATTGTTGTCATCCAACTCTTCGTAAATCGGTCCAGGATTGTCTTCGAACTCCTCCTGGTTTGCTGCATCCTGATACCTCGGTGTATCATTCGCAGGCTGAATATTTTCTGGGAATTGTGGTTGGCGATTAAGCTGATACTGAGGTTCGTCTTCATAATGATTTTGAGGTTTTCTGGCGACACTCCGACAAATGTATGCGGGTTGTCTGCGGTCTACTCGATGCAGGCTATTTGGGTAGTAATGGATCGCCACAGGCTGTAATGAAGAAAAAAAACGGCTTAGTTTTTAGAATTCCAAAGTTTTGTTTGTAAAAAAAGGGTCTGTGAGTGACGTGTGTGTAATTCAGAATTGACATATTTTTTGGAGAATGGTAAGATGTAATTATTTTTATATATTCAATATAAGTAATAAATTGGTATGGGAAGATCGGCTTGGGATTAAAGACCATTTCGTTATTGTAGTAATACTTGAAAAATGTATACCAGTATAATTAGAAAATTGATACGTTTAAAAAAAAACGGTGTTATATATACTAGCTGACCCGTTAGGCGTTGTCTTAGACACTATATAAAAATTTTTTTTTTGTATAACTTCTTCACATTATAATTACATTTCTATCTTATTGTGAATGAATTTTTTTACAATTTTATACAATTTCAAATTTTTTCAATATTTGTATGGAAGTATAGCCTCGAGGTTCCAAGTCTGAAAAGACAGCGATCAGATTTTAAATTACAAATAAAGTATTCATTATTATTATGTATTGATGTTAATAATTATACCTACAAAAATTTAATTTTTATTAGTGTTTTTTTTTAATATTCGCGGATCCAAATATATTGAAGATAATGTTTAAGAAATTGATATGTTCAAGAAAAAAACGATGTTATATATACTAGCTGACCCCTTAGGCGTTGCCTTGTACATAACTTCTTCATATTATAATTACATTTCTAACTTATGATGAATAAGTTAGAATTTAAGCTCTAACTAATTAGAGCAATTATGAATCTTGTTCAAAAGTGCTTACAATTAGTAAGCAATAATTATTAACATCAACTATAAATATATTATTAGAACATTCCAAAGTTCTAAGAGGAAACAATATCACTATTAGTTAATAAATAATTATGATATTATTTTTCATCATCTTATAAATAAATCTGTATTTTGATATTTACTTCATTTGATCAGGTTTTTAGACGCTATGATATATTCGAAAAATATGTTATAATATTTTTGATATTAATGATTATACTATATACTAGTATAATTATTAATAACTTAAACGATCGAATATAAAACCAAGCCAAGGGGCATACTTAAAAATACCCAGTTAACAAGATGCAATATAAATAGTTTTATTGCATGGTTTTATTATCAAGCATATTTTTATGAACCTTATGATTTTATAATATTATAGTAGTGTATAAATAACGATATGATTTAAAAACTATAGGCCAGTTAATAAGGATAAAACACGAACGTTTGGATTTAAGTGCCAGGTAGAATTTTTTAAGGATTTTAACTCAAGAACAGGCAAAAGTGGATTATAGATTTTGGAAATGTGTTTTTAATCTGCCATTAAAAAATGGATTATGAGCTTTCTCATAAATTTAAATTAAAGTTTGCAACTGCCTTTATGGGACAACGCTAATTAGTTTTGACTTCAAATAATATAGGATATGCATTTCTATAAGGTATTTTGGGTTACAGAAAATTACTAAAAAGTTAATAGAAAGCAGAATTTTAATGAACTTGTAGTAATCCTGACTAATGTACATCTAAAAATCCGACAAAAAATATAAGTATATCAGTATGTTGCTAGCATCCAAAAACGCGGTAGCCAATGTCCATAGAAACCCCTTCACCAAACGTACATCGATTATTACTTAATCGAAACCCTTTTATTAAATGTAGGTAAGTTATTACTATAAATAAATTATCCTTTATTCATAATAGCTCTATTTTAGAACGTTCTATCATAAATGACTCCAAGCAGCTGTCAACAATTTAATATCCTCCCACCACGGTTTGATCTAGACAATAGGTATTTAAATGATTAAGCCTCACCTTTATTATAGGTCGATGATATGTGGGAATAGCCGTCATGTTGTGATACATAATGTGTTGTGCTTCGTGGATGTCTTCATAATAATTCGACACATTTGTATTGTTGTTTTTGGTGTAGACACATTGGTCTGCTGGCATCATGCTTTGGTTCTTGTATAAATTCATCTTCTTGAATGCCATGTTTTGACGACATCTGAAATAAAAGAAATATTATTAATAATGGTCACGGGTCAGTCGATGGCCGCTTCTTAACAGTCGCATTAAAAAAAATCAGTTTGGATGTATGGCATCCATCTATGGGGTGCTGCTAAAGTCAGTAACTTACAATGCAACGATCTCCATAATTTTAAGACTAAAATTGACCACCATCCAAACGAACTGATTGCAAGCCTTTACAACACCACACATAATATAAGATTAAAAAATACAATTAATAGATCAAACACATTAATCAAGAATAAGTTGTTGTACCATAATATTTAAATAAGTATGTGTATGTATGTGTATATGTAGTCTGTGTAATATAATTTGTTTATAATTGTATGTATATTTGAGTTTCTTTTTTTTTCTTTATTATACCAAAATTTAAATATAATTTAGTACACTAATAAAAAATTAACCACTGGGTTTTCCCTTTAAAATTTAATATGTTATTTGTCAAACTAATTACTCAATGTCTCTATTCAGACAGATTGTAATTTATAAGAAAATAAAAAAAAAATATTTGAAAATTTATGATGATTTATTGTTTTTAACTTCCCGTAGGGTAAGTTATAGTAATCGCAAAAAAATCGAAAATGAAAATTTTTGCATTTCTCGACGTTTCAAAGGTTTCTGAATATTTGGCATACCTTAGAAAAAATGGATGTATGTGTGTGTTTGTGTGTGTGTGTGTGTGTGTGTGTGTGTGTGCGTGTGTGTATGTATGTGCGGATACAAATTTTCGTCGACGATTTCGGGAACACCGATCAACCGATTTGATTAATTCAAAAAACATTCGATTCGTATTGATAAGGAGACGTGCTGATTAGTTTTTGGCGAAGTCAGGTCTAGCCGTTCCGAAGATACGGGGCAAAAAGTGCCGAAAACGGTAACTCAGTTTTTAAGAGAACGGAGCGTCCGATTTTAATAATTCAAAAAACGTTTTACTTGTATTGACAAGGTGAAATACCGATCAAATTTTCATAAAGGCAGGTTTAGCGGTTTCGGAGATCTAATGAAAAAAAGTTTAGATCTTTCAAAATATGTCAAAATAAAGAAAACATTTTTCTTTCAAAAAAAAAAAAATTAAAAAAAAAAATTAAAAAAAATTTTTTTTTCAAAAAAAAGTAATTTTTTGTCTAATTGTTTGTCAAAAATCTTATTTTTTTGAAGTAAATTTTTTTCAAAAATGCTAATCGTTTTTAAAAAAATAATTTTTGGTACGGGAAGTTCCAGCAATTTGCCTTAAGGCACGATGCCTTAATTGCCTTAAGACAGAATTCCACTTACAGCTAGTTGGTTATAAACTTACTTGGCAATGACTAGTAATCCCAAAATTGCAAATACGACTACAACTCCAGTGCAGACTGCGATTATGGTTGAAATTCGTGAAGACAGATTTGCATGGTATGAAGAATCCAAATACTGCAAAAAAAAACAAGTATGAATAAATTGATAGATTTTACCAATAATAAAAAAATGATTAATAGGTAATTCAATGTGCAATATCAAACTGATTTCTACAAATTATGGAAAAATGTGGATTTTATAAAAAACAAATATTTACCATAAGACTAGCACACATGTCTTCATTTTGGAAGTCTGCTGCACACAAAGAATCCTTAAAATCAAAGGCCATAAAAGGCGGTAGTGGAGGAGGTGGTAGCAAAAACTCCGGAGGAGTTCCGGAACATGAATCACAATCCATCGTGTTTTTTATATCCGATTTTTCGGTCTCAGTTTTAAATAAAATTATCCTTACTTCTTAACCATCGCTGAATTAAATATCTGGAAACAAAAAAATAAATGATTAATTAGGAATAATGAGACAAGAGCTCATTATAACGACAAGCCATAAAATTTAAAAAAATATAAATTTTCTGTATCTATTTCTCAACAGTTAAGCGGATTATCAATTTCTAAATTATATTACCCACATGTTATTTTTAGGTCAATCTTGTAATTTAAAGTGCTATCTAAGCCCATACAAATAATATCATAAAATTCAAACCAAATTATACAAATATCTACTTGTAGAAAATTTATGTTCCTTGAATGCTAAATAGTCAAGGAACGGCAATTTAATTTTGCAATTTAAATCGATAAACTAACTCATTGCAAATATCCGAAGTTGGCATTTAGCTCTAATGATATTAGACCACACATGTATAAGACTAATAGACCGAGGATTAGAAGAAATGTAATAATATTAAATTTATTTAACAAAATTTATAGATGCTTGTAGTTAAATTTTATAAACAATTTAGCTACACAGAAATATCTGTAGTTATAGAAACATATCTTTAGCATTACACACATCTATATAAATTGTTTGTATCTAATTCGACTTCAAATAGAAACACTTTTTATGAAAATATTAGATACTAACGCCTTCTCTAGGTGTTCAAATACACGATATTTCCATGTTTCATAATATTGGATATCGTTTTATTGCCTACAGATAGGCCTGGCTCGTAATGTCGAGGAATAAATTACAATTTTCTATCAGTAATATCGAATTTACTGTTTTCTAATAGTGACATGTGAAAAAATGCATTCGTGTGAAAGCTGACCTACGCGAGCAATGAAAATAGCATAAGGCACACTTATGAAAGCGTGGATGTGAACATTAGAAATCATTTATAATAAAAAATAATAAAATCTTTATAAAATAATTAATAAAAAGATTAAAAACTACGAAACACATTTTTCACCCCATTTAGAAATTTGTGTTTAATATTTAGTAATAAATTTGCCATGCATCTTGGCCAAATTGGAAACCAATGGAACTTGGAAAGAGTCAAATATCACAAAGCATGTCAAATAAAAATATTCAATAATTTAGGAATAAATTAAAAGATTAGTGAACACTTTTAGTGGACTATTGATTCATATTTTGTTGTTTGAAATTGCATTTTTATATTACAAATTAGTCTAAAACAGCATTCCTTTATACAATATGAAAATTTTAGGTTAAATCCCATTAAGAAATATGTATACGCAGCTCTTTAATAGTTCCCTCTTTATAACTCATATTAAGTTTTACAAAAATTGTACAATTTGAAATAGAAAACTGTATTGTAGCAAATATAGATTGAAAAACATTTTAATATTTTCTGCTATATCAATTTATATCTTCATAATGACAAATATTAGCATCCAGTTTTATCATAAAAAATATGAGTAATGAATGTATGAAATGTAAACCTTATATCAATATAATAAGTTCCATATAAATTTGAAGTAAAAGTTTTATTTTATATTTAAATTAAAACCCTGTCAAGCTCAGTTTGTTTAAATTTAAAACGGTTTACTTAGATTTTGTAAACATCCTGCAGTTCAACACTTCTATACTAAAATCATTGGTGACAAAACAAACGCTTCTAAATATTTACTTTTGTATCATACAAGAATACAACTTGCTTCATATCGGTCTTTATAAAATAAAAAAATACATCAATGATTTCAAAATGCATTTTTTACAAATAATAAATATAATTCTATCGTTTTAAAACTCATTTTTCAGAAGGATGACATTCGATTTGGAAAAGGAACTCATTATTTACTCGTTAAATGTAATGATTAGATTGCAGAGCCTAATGTTATTTCAACAAAAACAATGTTTGTTATAGTTTATTATTATTAAATCAAATTATTCGTAATCATTTTTTAATTAACATTCTTTGCAGTAACAAAAAATTATTGGTAAAAAATACAATTGTGTAATAATAGAAATATACATAATGACTATGTACTTGGTAAAACAATAATAAAAATATATACACAATATATATATATATATATATATATATATATATATATCTAATACAATAATAAAAAAATGAAGAAGAATGTTTTTATTAGAATAGCATACGTTTCAAGTCATGGTTTGACTCATCTTTAGTGCATACAAATTGGAACAAAGCACAAAAATAAGAAACACTAATTTATATTTATATAAAGCAATAAAACAAAACAAAATTAAAATAAAGTAACTAAATGAAAGACTTGTAAAGATAAGGTTTTGTGATCAAAGCATGTTCAAGTCCCTGAATAGGAGTGAGTAATCAATTAGCAATAATTTTTTTTTTTTTGAGAAATGAGAAGCACTAATTATTATTTACACGTGACTTTAGAACAAAAAAATAATAAATTGAAGTAAACAAAATGAAAGACTTGTAAAGGAAAGGTTTTGTGATCAAAGCATGTTCAACTCCTTGAATAGGAATGAGTAATCAATGAGCAATCAATAATTTTTTTTGAGAAATGAGAAACACTTATTAGTATTTACACATAGTTTTAAAACAAAAAAATAAAAATAAAATAAAGTAAAGAAAATAAAAGACATGTAAAGGCACGATTTTGTGATCAAAGCATGTTTCACTTCCTGAATAGGAATGAGTAATCAATGAGCAATCAACAATATTTTTTAGAGAATTGAGAGGCACGAATAGTATTTACACATAGCTATAAAACAAAATAATAATGATAAAATAAGGTAAATAAAATAAAAGTCTTGTAAAGGTAAGGTTATGTGATCAAAGCTTGTTCCACTCTCTGAATACGAAAGAGTTCATAAGCAATCAATATTATTTTTTTATTTTATAACCATATGTATATATTAGTTAGTACTCTAATTTTTGTATTTGTGAAGATGAGTCAAATCAAGATTCGAAACGTATATCATTCCAATAAAAACACTCAAAATTTTTTTTTTGTTATGGAAAATAATTCAGATTTTAATTTTAATTCTGTTCTAATATATACTTTAAACAAATAATTTCAATTTTGCAATTCAGTTTATTATTATTAATAATTTGTATAAATATTAAACAATGTTACAATATTTATGAAAATCTATATGAAAACATTTAATATTCCTCGATCATTTCAATTTCAATGCCATACACACCACTAGATTATATAGATTTAAGTTTAAAATATAAACACACTATATGAGGTTACAACAATTTATGTAGGTACCAGGTAGGTATAACATAAGAATATATTACTAATAAACACAAAAATAACAATTATAATAGACTGTATATAATTATTAATTAATTAATATAAATTACTACTTACATTAATTCAAAGCACCAGCGTCAATTTAATATCCATCCGTTCCTTGAACTCAATAATCAAACACTGCACTATCAGCACTTATTTTATGTATATTCTCACCAAACACTATGATTAACACATCTGTTCGTTACTTATCTTATCAACTGATAACTCATTTATTACTTATTATTATTTATTTAATCGTAATTTAAAAGTTATTTTCAATTTAATATTATCTGTCGTAATGTTTACATATGATTTATTTCCAACGTGCGTGTGCAGCTGAACGGCTTCCCAAATGAGACTGCCGTGTGAAGATGTTCAGCGAGGCCATCAAAGGAGCCAAAATTAAAATCGGAGTGGGGAGACCTCGAAGACCTCTTCTGTGTGAGGGTAGAATACGAATGTGTAAAACCCTAGATGGTAGACATATGCAATGTCACAAATCAAAATGATTCAGAGAAAAACTGTTTTTGTTTTTTTGAATTATGTTGAAAAAATTTAATGTTTTCCTGGTTTAACGCTTCCTGCAATTGTTGGTGCTAGATACTAGAAATCTGCATATTTTAAATCATGATGCATAAATTTGTATATCTTATCATATTTTCCTTAAAAATTCCTTTGGATTTGACATAACATATTGAACTGTTCACTGGAACAATTTCACAGTGATTATTTAGTTTATATTATTACCTTTTATTTTAATTATTATTAATTGTTAATAGTTTTGTTCTTATATCAGCTCTGTAACAGAGTCATTTTGACTCTGATTATTATAATTAAATATAATAGCTGTACCTAATTAAATTATTATTATTATAATTATATTATTATTATTATAATTATTATAATTTATAATTACATATAAATATAAATATACAGGGTGTATAATATAAATAGTAGGGTGTATGGCATCGTGCCTTAAGGCAAATTGCTGGAACCGTAACAAAAGAAAATGCTCAAGGAATATTAAATGTTTTCAAGTAGATTATTATAAATATTGTAACATTGTCTAATATTTATAAGAATTATATAAACAGAATTGCAAAGTTGAAATTATTTGTTTAAAGTATATTAGAACAAAATCAAAATTAAATACTGAATTATTTTTGATATACAAACAAAAAATTTTTTTGAAAAAAAAAAATTGAAAAAAAATCGGGTCAATTTTTCCCCCAAAAAGCAATTATTTTGTTGAAATAAACAGAAAGTTCTTTGAATCATTCAAATTGGACGCTTAGCTCTCTCAAAAACTGCCATGTTTTGCACATTTAGCTCTGTATCTTCGAAATGGCTGGACCTGCCTTTGCCAAAAACTAATCACCTCTTCTCCTAATCATTACAAATTGAATGCTTTTTCAATTCAAACCGGTTACTCCGTTCTCTCAAAAACTCGATTTGTATTTTCTGAACTCTTTGCTCCGTATCTCCGTAACGATTGGACCTGCCTTTGCCAAAAACTAATCAGCACATATCCCTATCAATAGGAATCGAATGCTTTTTGAACCATTCAAAGCAGTTGATCCGTACGCCCGAAAACGTGGACAAAAAATGCGGACATACAAAACACACACACACATCCATTTTTTCTGAGGTATGCCAAAATGTTCAGAAACCTTCAAAACGTCGAGAAATGCAAAAATTTTCATTTTCGATTTTCTGTCCATTACTATAACTACCCTACGAGACGTTAATTATATTAAAAAAATTGTGCTATTTAAATTATTAGTTCCTGATTTATACTTTTTTCTGGATTCCTTGAATTTTGAATAATAATAAGAATAAAGAACAGCAATATTTACTTACAAAATCATTTTTTTTAAATTAGTTGTTCCTAAATTTTTTTATTAGATACATTTAAAACATACATTCTATAAATTTATACTATAATAAATTACCATGACTATTATTTTAAATCTAAATACAACACAACATCACAATATAACATTACAAAAAATATAATTATGGTGGAAAATTTCTGATAAATTGAAATTGAAATATTAATTTTTAACTAATGTTCTTATATAAAACTAGATATCAATGATTTGGAATACCAGAACATATTTCTTGTCACAAAATCTATCAAATTAATTGTTGTGTTATTATTAACTAAACATTTTTAAATTAGTTTTTTTGTTCACAATCTGCATCATAAATAGATTACTTCGATAAAGTTATCTTTTAAAGCACAGATTTTCAAACTTTTTTTTCTTGTAGGCTTCTTGCAATGTTTTTCGATTTGAGATAGACTCCTTCCTTCGAGTTTCCTTATACTGATTTTTCATGAATTTCTAATTTAATTAAAGACTAGTATTGAAAATTTTAAGTAAAAAGACATATTAAATTTATACTAGAATTATATATGTAAATATATTACATGTTCTAAATAGCATAATAAAGTAATCCATAGATAAATGTTTCTAATGGATAGGAAGGTGCCAAATAGTCAATATTTTGAATAAATTATTAAGTAAAAATAAAAACACTGTTAAAATGATGAAGTTTTATGTATACATTTTATTAGTGATAAATACAAATTATTTTAAAAAAAATTGGGACATTTAAATGATTAGTTTTTGATTTATATTTCTTCCTGTTTTTCTCTAATTTTTAATAATAATTATAAAGCATAGCAATATTTACTTAGAAAAAAATTTAAATAGTTGTTTGTTCACAACACTCATAATAAATTGATTTTCTTCGATAAAATCATTTTTTAAGGCACAGGTTCCCAAACTTTTTAATGTCGCAAACGCATTTCAATGTTTTTTGTTTTTTAAATAGATTCTTAATTCACCTAATGTTTTTTATAAATTGTTCAACACTTAATACAAACCACAAATATACAACTAAGAACTATATTTACTTAAATTTATATATCTGATCCATAGACATTATAATGTAGGTCTATGATCTGATCAAATAAAATTTAATTAAAAAGTATTTCTTATTTTACTTACAACGAGACCATGCTCATATATTCATCAGTATTATTTTTTATAAATCCATATATAGACCAAAAACAGTATTTAATTCCTTAAATCTTTCTATAAAATTTGATTTGACAAAATTATTATTTATATTAGCAAAACTCAATTCTGTTTAAAATTTGTAGAATGTGTTTACGTTCGTTATTTTCCATATTTTTTTAAAAAAATATTGTTTTTACTCACATGTAATATTTTACCTGACGGCGCTAAAAACAGTTCCAAGAATTAAAAAATTATACATGATTTATCACTTTTTTGGGGTGTCATGATCCGATGACAGATATGATAAAATCTCAGCAGCGGATTAGAAATTTCGTTGGTAGCATTTTTGAATATTATTTTTATAACTAAATTCGGTGGTGATACTTTTTTTGTTTTTGATTGTTAGATAATATATGCTATTCACAATCTGGCAATCGTATCTTTGATGACATGGGAAATACTTCATCGTTCTTTTGAAGTCCTGTCTAATTCATATTCAGTTCCTGCCACATAATCCATAAAACAGTAGACGTGCCTTTACATTGGATAATAAAGAAAAAAGTCTTAGGAAATATTTCTAGGAAATCTAAATTTTAGAAACTTGGTGTTAATTTAATTAATGGTAATATTTACGTGTAAATTGTAATGCATTATTATAGAGTATGAGATTCTTGTAGAATCTCTGACCATGCCTTAACCATCCATTGATTCTATTCTAATTATTAGAAATAAGTGAAGATATTTTTATACAATAATTGTTATTTTTATCGTTATTGTTAATAGAAAAGAACTAAGTAAAATTACTCACAATCAGATACAAATATAGGAAACATGATTTTTTATTTAACCATCGCTCTCTTCCAAGTATGGTTACTAAAGACTATTTCCGCCTAACGACATGATGATTTTTATTTCTATCAGTTACCCAATTTGGCTAATAAAATTTTAAGTTACGTCCCCAAAGGTAATTCAAGTATCTTCTTTATATAAAAATTCATTGATGTATATATCCCTAATAAAACGATCAATAAATTCTCTCAATGCTACCGCAAAACCTATGTCATGCTCTAATGCTCTAAAATACAATTGGGAATTGCATTATTATATTACTATTATAACCTGTCGATAAAAAAGAAGCCCGTTCGAGTATTCTGCAGATCAGAAGCGGACAACCTTTTCTAGCTTATTGCATTTTTCATTAACTTTCCGTAAGTTATTGTAATCGTCCAAAAATCGAAATTGAAAATTTTTACATTTCTTCACGTTTTGAAGGATTCTGAACATGTTGGCATACCTCAGAAATAATGGATGTGTGTGTGTGTATGTATATATGAATACAAATTTTTGTCCACGTTTTCCGGCGCACCGATCAACCGATTCGAATGGTTCGAAAAACATTCAATTCCTATTGATAGGGAGATGTGTTGATTAGTTATTGGCAAAGGCAGGTCCAGCCGTTTCGGAGATACGGAGCAAAGAGTGGAGAAATTAGAAATCGAGTTTGAGAAATTGGAGCATCCAATTTGAATGATCCAAGAAACATTCAATTTGTAATGACGAGGAGAAGTGGTGATTAGTTTTTGGCAAGTCTAACGGTTCCAGAGATACATGAGCTAAATGTGCAAAAAATAGCACTTTTTGAAAGAATTAAGCGTCGGATTTGAATGATACAAAGAACTTTCTGCTTGTTTTAACAAAATAATTGCTTTTGAAAAAAAAAATTTCATTTTTTTTTCTTTTTTTTTCAAAAAAATTTTTTTTTGTATCAGATTTTTTTTCAGATTTTAATTGTAATTCTGACTTAAGTTCTATTATACTTTAAACAAATATTTTCAACTTTGCAATTTAATTTATATAATTCTTATAAATATGAAACAATGTCACAGTATTTATAATAATCTACATGAAAACATTTAATATTTCTCGAACATATTTTGTTACGGTACGGGAAGTTCCAGCAATTTGCCTCAAGGCACAATGCCATACACACCACTAGTTAGAAAATAAACTCAAATGTTATTTTCTGAAAATTGATGAACAAATACTTGTTGCAGCTTTTATAACCATAAATCAAGTTGTAAAACATAATCAGTTAATTTATAATAATACAAATTTATGCAAATCTAAATATTTTACAACTTTTACTACTAATAATAACAATTAATGCTAATACTAATACTAATGGCATTA